TTCTCTGAAGTCTTTCAAGCTTCCAAATTGCCTTTACTTTCAGCAATGGAGGTGGTGTCCAGCACCCTTCTGTAGGAGTTCATCTTTCTGGCTCCTTTTTTAGCTCTCCCCGCCCTGACCCAGCTTGAGCTGTCCTTGTCTAGGTAACTTCTTATCCCACTTTCTCAGGTTTAGTTTCTTAAATGTATAGTTTTGGGGAAAGCCTTTGAATCGACATTAGCCAAATGCCACTGACAATTCCTATAGACCTAATGCAATGGTTGGAAATTGATGGCACTGTGAGAATTAACTCTGTCTGCTAGGAATATGCTGTTCTCTCCCTGCTCCTCCCTCCTACCCCCCATTCTGCCTTTGGTTTTTTTCCCCATACTCTCTTCTGAGATTAAGGACAGAAAAATGATTGCCTTTCACCACAGTACACGTGTTAACAATAGTGTAATTCTCCTTTGATGATGTTGCCTACAAGAAATCTGGAGAGGGGCTTTTGACAAGGGCCTGTAGCGACAGGACGAGGGGAATGACTTTAACCTGCCAGAGGGGAGATTGGGATAAGCTCTTAGGCAGAAGTTCTTCCCTGGGAGGGTGCTGAGGCACTGGCACAGGGTGCCCAGAGAAGCTGTGGCTGCCCCATCCCTGGCAGTGTTCAAGGCCAGCTTGGACACAGGGGCTTGGAGCAACCTGCTCTAGTGGAAGGTGTCCCTGCCCGTGGCAGGGGGTTGGAACTGGTTGAGCTTTAAGGTTCCTTCCAACCCAAAAGGTTGTTCTATGATTCTATGTTCAACTGTCCTAAACATACAAATGTGGATCACTCCGTTTTAAAAATCTGCCGCTGAAATTCAGAATTCATTAATAATTTTGGGGATTTTTCAAGATTAATGTTTTACAAACATGCATCCAGGACACTTTGGTTTTTCCTTAGCTGTGATTTTTCTTTAACGAATACACACATATACTTCCTTTCCACTCAGTGCGCTCTCTCTTAATACAGACTTTGCCATCTTGTGTGACATGGTTTGTGCGAAGTGTCACTGCCCATGGCAGGGGGTTTGGAACTAGATGATATTAAGGTCCTTTCCAACCCTAACTCTTCTATGATTCTATGATTTAAGAGGCCATTTCAAATTGTTTATACATATTTGACTTAATGTACTATGTGTATCCCACTGACTGTTGCACATTAACGTTATTACTTTACTTAGAAGAACTTTTTCTTGCTATAATTCGACAAAAACAACAGTGCATTTTTTTCATTCTCTCTGTTTTGTTACTTGGTGCCTTGAACGTTAAATTGTTGTCTATGTTGTGCCCCAGATAGCAGTTTGAAACTAGTGTAAGAGGAGAGTGTTCTTGTAAGTCCCATTTGTTTTCAGATGAATGACCTGACTGTGCCTAAGTTACGCTGTTTTAAAAGAAACTATTTACCTTCTTGTGAAGTGTTATTGTACTCACCATTTTAATACAGCAGGTAACAGTGATGTTCATTACTGAAAAATGGAATAGATCGGATTTGTTTCACAGATGTGGATATTTTCCAGGTCTTAAATCCTTGCTTGGGGGCTCTTCTGGGAACTGCATTTCAGTTGTATGAAAGAAAGATGGGAATTCTGTTTGTTATTTTTAATCTAATTATGTATGATTTCCATATGGACCTGATTTTGATGAGCAGGGCTTATCTGGCAATTTAATTTTGGTTAAGAAAGCTCATTTTTATTTTTTATTTATTTTTTTTTTTTTTTTAAGCCTGAGTCATTTGTTGTTCTTCAGGAAACTAGAATAAGAGGGGCTGTGGTTGATGCAGTATTGGAGTAAGTAACATAATCTGTGTTTTGTTTTTATGGGATTCAGTACTGTCAGCTGAGCTTTCATTTTATCTTTTGCGTTCATTGGTATTTTGTTCATGTCTTTTGGCTGAACCATAACTGAAGTGATTTTGATGTTCTGTTTTGTATTACTTAAACTGAGATTCTGCCTTTCTGTTGTTTAATGATACTTACTCTATTTCTAGTTTATATCCAATGGTTTGGATGTTTTTCCGTATTTTTGCTTCGCTTAGGTTAGCATATAATGTAATGTATTTCCTGCACTACATAATGCTTTAATGCTGTTCTCTAATCAATATTGTAGTGCACTTTGATTCACTGATTGTCTTTACTGTGCTCCAACATGAATGTTCCATGATATATTTTTAATTTATATTTTTGATTTCTTGTAACCACTGGTGCTGTGGCAAATGAGACAGAGGTTGATTCTTCTTGCTGCCTTGAGGCATGGAAGCAGGGCAATTGTGTTTTTAATACTGCTCTAGATTTACCTTCCCCTGCTTTTTCTCTGTCCCTCCCCTCTGCCTAGTTAGGTGCTTCAGGCATTAGGTGGAGCTTATTCATATACTTTACTTTTTTTTCCTTGAAGGATACTTGCCATCATTTGGGGTGGCAATTTTGCCACTTGCTTGTTAATTCATTCTCATTTGAAATCGAAAAACCCAACAGTTTTTCTTACAAAATATAGTTTAATATCTTGCATAAGAATGGGTGTCAGGCTCTCATAGACTATTACATATTCAGTGTAAATGTGTCAATGTAAATGAACCTGTATTGAGAATAAACAGGTTTGTTATTGGTCCCCACCCCTGCATCATCATAAAGTCTGATAGAACTCAAATTTGGCCTGTACAAAACTGCTGAAAATAGAGCTCTGCCTACAGCAGCAAAGAACTTTCAATAACTTGGATAAAGCTGTACACATGGCTGCTGGGGAGCTGTGGTGTGGGGCAGGGGAAGAGGCACTGGGCATTTGACTCCAGCCTGAAGAAGACACCTTAGTTGATCTTTACCTACCTTGATTATTAGAAGGGCTGTCATTGTTTGAGGGATCTGGACAGGCTGGATTGATGGGCTGTGGCGAATTGTATGAGGTTCAAAAAGGCAAGTGCTGGGTCCTGTGTTTGGGCCACAACAACCTCATGCAACACTCCAGGCTTGGGGAAGAGTGGACGGAAAGCTGCTTGGCAGAAAAGGAACTGGGGGTGCTGGTCAATGGCTGGCTGAACATGAGCAGCTCGTGCCCAGGCAGCCATGAAGGCCAGTGGCATCCTGGCCTATATCAGCACTAGTGTGGCCAGCAGGGCTAGGGTAGTGATCATCTCTCTGTGCTGGGCACTGGTGAGGCTGTACCTCAAATCCTATGTTCAGTTCTGGGCCTCTCGCTACAAGAGAGACATTGAGGTGCTGGAGCGGGGCCAGAGAAGGTCATGGAGCTGGTGCAGGGCCTGGAGCACAAGTGTGATGAGGAACAGCTGAGGGACCTGGGGGGTTTAGTCTGTAAGAAGAGAAGGCTCAGGGGGGACCTTATTGTTCTCTACAACTATATGAAAAGAGGATGCGGCCAGGAGGTGGCTGGTGTCTTCTCCCAAGTAGCAAGTGATAGGAGAAGAGGGAACAGTCTCAAGTTGTGGCAGGGGAGATTTTAGATTGGATATTAGGAAAACTTCTTTACTGAAAGGGTGCTCAGGCATTGGAATAGGCTGCCCAGGGCAGTGCTGGAATCATCATCCCTGGAAGTGTTCAAAAACCATGTAGACAAGGCCCTCAGTGACGTGGTTTAGTGGTGGAGTCTGCAGTTGTGGGGCAACAGTTGGATTTGATGATCTTAAAAGTCTTTTGCAACCTAGTTGATTCTATGTTTCTGTGCTCAAATCGATTATGCTTTTTTGAGAATGTATTAACCTTAGGCAACTCAGCATTTCAGCCTTTCAGCCCACAATGGCTATCGTGAATGCTATTTTGAGCTATTCAGTGAAATCCTGTGGATTGTTACAGTACAACTCTTGAGAGGAAGCCAGGCTTGGATGTTGTGGTTTTGTTTCAGGATGCTGTCAAAATAGTCGCTGCCAGCATAGTCACAGCATACGGTCCTGGAGTTTGAAAAATGCCGAGCAGATTGGCATATTCTAGCAATGCATTTGGATTATAATGTAAAAATACAACCACGTTGCCAACAGTCCTGCAATATCAAAATGAAGCACTTGGTACTAGGAAGGCGACCAGTAAAAGTTGGAATCTGTGTCCTGTTTGCAGTCAGCTGCACAGGTTGGGGTTTTGTAGGATACTTGGGAAAAGAGCAAGTCGTCTCATTCTGGCTGTTTCAAAACTCTTTTTGTCCGAATTTCTAGAACTTTTTGACACTTGAGTGGTTGGGTAGGTGGATGGGACTTTGGGGTACCTCTCTGCACTTGAAATCAACTCCGGAAGTCTATTCAGGGAGTTGGTATCTTACTGAAGAAGACCCTTTATGCAAGGAGGGAAGGGTTTGTCTGCCATAAACAACTGTACAGAAATTGATTTATGAGACTGCGATGATTCCAGTGTGTATCTTTGCAGTGGTAATCTAGATGTATAGAATCATAGACTGACATGGGTTGGAAAGGACCGTAAGATCATCCAGTTCCAACCCCCTGCCATGGGCAGGGACACCTCACACTAGACCATGTTGCCCAAGGCTCTGTCCAGCCTGGCCTTGAACACTGCCAGGGATTGGGCAGTCGCCACTTCTCTGGGCACCCTGTGCCAGCGCCTCAGCACCCTCACAGGGAAGAACTTCTTCCTTTATATCTAACCTGAACTTCTCCTGTTTCAGTTTGAACCCATCATCCCTTGTCCTATCGCTACAGTCCCTGATGAAGATTCCCTTTTAAATCCATTAAGTATCTTTCTCTATAAAGGCATTAGAAGTGCTTAAAGCAAATGTGAAGCGTCCCACTGATTTGTAATTAAAATTCTGGTGTCTGTCACTTAAGTATGTATTTTTTAATTATTACTTATTTTATTTTCTTTGGATTGGGATGGGATTGCAAGTGTCTGATTGAAAGGAATCAAAGGAGTTCAGTATGAAAGGTATTACAGGAATGTCTCTATCCTACCTAACTTAACTCTAACCTGCTTTGTAAGCGGTGGTGTCAGAGCTGGTAAGATTAATATCACATTGTCTCTTGTAGGATAATCATGGGTCAAACCGGAAAAAAATCTGAAAAGGGACCAATTTGTTGGCGAAAACGTGTGAAATCAGAATATATGAGGCTGAGGCAGCTCAAGAGGTTCCGACGTGCAGATGAAGTAAAGGTATTGTCACCTTTTGGCTCTATTGCTTAAAAAATGATACAGAACCTGATCTTCTGAAGTATGAGTTGTCCTGCAGTTCACACCTGCAATAACAGTTTCGTTAAATACTTTGTTAGCATACTGAAAACTTCTCTTAACTCTGATCTTATAAACAGGTATGATACATTTATATGTGATTGAAGCAGGCATGCTAAGTGTCAGAAAAGATGGTGGAGGGCAAGTACGGCAACTTCTTTAGCCACGTGTTCTTTCCTGTTCTATTTGGAATTTAATTCCATGCTGAAACTCTAAGTCTCTAACATGAAAACATGGGTCGAGTCAAAGAAAGGGGTTGTGACATTTCAACAAAATTTGGACGTTTTGAGTTTTGGCCACTTTTTACATCCTATGTAATTTGATTTATTGTTCTAGTAAATGTTATAATGCCTTAAGATGCTAGCAGCTGAAGTTAGAGTCTTTGATTTACTTGTAACGTTTACAATTGTGATTAATTTTTAGAGTATGTTTAATTCTAATCGTCAGAAGATACTGGAAAGAACAGAAATCTTAAATCAAGAATGGAAACAACGTAGGATACAGCCTGTTCACATCATGACTTCTGTGAGCTCATTGCGCGGGACCAGGGAGGTTGGTTAACATGTGTTGTGGTAATCCCACTTGAAAGGTTGTTAACACGTTTTTGTTTTATTACTGGAAAGTTGCCTGTTCTTTGTTATTTTTTTCCAGCATGACATGACTTGGCAGCTAAATATTTTTTGTATGAGTCTCTTAAAGAATTTGTTTGTTATTTACTACTTCAATCATACAACTTCTGAAAAGCAATAAGTATGTAGCAGGCTACCTAGCTTGGAACAACACACAAAAGTGAAACTCCTTTATTTATGGTAATACTCGGATCTTACTGCAGCATCCTTTAATCAAACTGATTAACTGTCTCACTGATACTGGGAGTTTAATCTTGCTCTTATTTGAGCTGATCGCCAGTAGAATGAATGAGTAGTTAGTTTGGTTCTTAGTGAGCCAAAGCACATGAAAGCTGTGAGCATACCCACTTGACAAAATCTTCTTTCTATTAAAGTAATTTAACCACAGAGGTTCTGAAAGGAGTTCGTTGAGTTGATGCATCCTTTTGTTGCACAAGCAGACTGGGCACTAGACTTGTGAAATCCACTTCCATGATCGTGATGCAGTTTGAGCACATAAACTGGCTTTCATGTGGCAGCTCAAGCAGTGGTTTCAGCGTACTCCCAACTTTCTGTGTTCAGCCCAGCTTAATTTCTCTTCTTTCTCAGTTGCTCTTTAGGCACTTCTCCAAACTAAGCTGGTTTGGTGTTTCGTGTGCAATAATCTGAAAAGCTAACTTTTTTCATTAGAATGAGAATGAAAAGACTTTACTGTGAACAGGGTAAAAAAACCCCACAAACCTAAGTCCAAAAGCTTTCTCTTTAGGAAAATCTGACAAATTTCCTTGAAGTTTTATTGGGGAACTGAGGGGGTGTGTGTCACAGAGGTGCATTTGTGTGCATGCATGATCAAATGCAAACAGGCAATGACCTTTGCCAGAGTGTTTTCTTTTAAACATGACTGAATATGCAATTAGTCAGGTACAGCTCTATACCTATTATATGGCACTGTAGGATCAGAATGTCTGATACAGGTACACATCCAGTTTTCACTTTTTTTTTTTTTTTTTTTTTTTTGTTAGAAGATGATTTCTTACCATTCCTCTTTATTTTCTTCTTTTTTTGTTGTTTAGCTTGTTTCACTATTATTTTATGTTAATTTCCTGCCTGAATTGATTTCCTGCCTGGATTGCTAGAGCATGCTAATTATGGCATTCTCAAATCCAGGCTCTGTCTCATGAATCAGAACTCCACTGCTTGATTTAGGATTGCCATCATTTATAGTGAGAGAAGTGAAACAAGAAAATGGTGGGGGCTTAAAAAAATTCCTTTAAAAATCTTCTTTTTTTTCTTTTTTTTTTTTTTTTCCCCCTTCCTTTTTTTTCTTAATATGCTGGATTTCTTCAAAATAGAAATGCTGTGTGAAAACCTCTTGTGTTTGGTGAAGACTGCAGGGCATCACTGGTGACATATAGGTTTTTGCCAATGGATAGCCCAGTCAGCATCAGCAGGAGGCCATAACATGTCCTATGCTAGCCTAATAAACATTAAGCTGAGTTCCATTCCAAAACAATGGGGCAACGTAACTGAGACTTGGTACCAAACAGTTAGTCATTTTGACATAGTTCATTTGTCAGCCTGAGACTTCTAGTTCCAAAGATAAAAGTAATAATTGTTTTAGTTTGTATTTTTCTTCTAAAAATACATGAAAAATATGCTAGATGGCTGCTAGCTAGGAAATTAAACATTAACCTGAAATGGAAATAAAGCACTAGCATAGGACAGTATCTTGAGTGTTGGTATACGCAGCAGAAATCTAATTTCATGTGCTGCAGATTAAAAAAGAAAAGAAATAAATCTGGCTTGTGTCATTCTACCGGGGTACTGTCTCTGTATACTGTTTGTTACATTACTTTGTGTATTTCTTTAGAAATGTGAAGCTCTGTTCATCTTTCCCTTCTGGAAAGGAGAAAGATCTTTTGTCTCCACTTCCTTTTTTCCTTTCAGGTAGCTATGATAGCTGTTCTAAACTTTGTTTTACCTACCTCCAAATTCTCTTTGTTGTGCTCTCCCTAGCTTTGTATGTTCCTGTCTGCTTTTGTTTGTAACTTTTCTTCCAGAGTTCTTCGTACTGCTGTCCAAGTACTTGAGAAAAGTTGGTCTGTATCTGTTACCTGTTGAATAGATGCAAGAATAACCTAGAAGCTATCTGTATTTCTATGGCATGTTTATCTTTTGGATAACCTCTGAATCTAAATAAAAATCAAGTCCTAGAGCTGAAAAAATCATTGACATATCCAGAGTTGCATATTAAGAGTTAATTTTTGTTTTTCCTTTGTAAACAGTTAAGCATAATCAAAGGCTTGAGGGTAGGCTAAAGATAAACAGGCATAATGGGGGAAACAGGGCAGGAGTTAAGACATACGGAGAATTTATTTCCATAAGATGTCTTGCTGGCATTAATGTAAAATTTAAATTTTTTAAACCCATAAATAATAAATGATTTCTGCAGTGTATTGTTCTGGAGCCAGGGGAATTCAGTTGCCTCTCTGATGGCTTGAGTAAATACCCTAACATCAGTGAGAGTATTAACAGCAACAGGCGCTAAATCTGTTTTGAGATACCAAAGATAATTTGTCTTGCAGATTGAATGCTCTGAGTAAAATACTATCACAGCCACTTAGTAATAAGTGTGGGGGAAAAAATCATGATCTATTAGCGAAGGTATTGACACAGAAATAATTGTGTCTCTTTTCCTGCTAAACCTATTTTTACTATTATACCCTAAAACTCTGATGCATTTTTCAAAGGCTGATATGGCTCATTTTGACAAACACTTTGAATTTTGTACATTATAGAGTGGTGTTCTGTGATGATTTTTTTTTGTTTCTTTTAGTTTCTGTTGTTGCTCTGTAAGTGTAACTTCACCCTCTTTTTTTTCCAGTGCTCTGTTACCAGTGATATAGATTTTCCAAAACAAGTTATCCCACTGAAGACTCTCAATGCTGTTGCTTCTGTGCCTATAATGTATTCTTGGTCTCCCCTTCAACAGAATTTTATGGTAAGTTTATAAAGTTCTGGGAGGAGAAATGTGTGGAGGAAAGGGAAGGGTTAATTTGGGAATAAATCAGCAAAAATCTGTTGCCAGTTAAGCTTCTTCTCTTTTGTATTGGTAATAGGAAGTAATAATCAGAAATAGGGCCCACCAAATAAAATAATAACACAACCAAGTAACTTTGATTTCAAATTCAGTTCTCAGTGAACTGAAGTATCTCTAAAACCTTGCTGTAGAAATACCCCGAGTTTATTGAATTCAGTTGACCAGTTCTTGTGTGGCATTTAACAAATGTATTTGAAAGCATACAATTAGTGTAATGAGAAATGTTTTCTGAAGAAAATGAATGTGTTTATGCAAGACAATCAACCAATGTACCTGCAGCAGAACAGTAATTCTTGTGGAATAAAGAGAATTTAATCCTGAAATAGGCTCCCCACGTAATGGTCATTCTTACACAGCAACTGAGTATAGCCTTTTCTTCTTATTAGCTTCACTGTGTGCAGAAGCCATAATGTTAGATTTCTGATGCAGGTATTTGGCTTGTTGAAAAGCTTAGCTTATTACAAATCTTTGTCACAGCATTTTATATATGATCACCTTTGCTGACAGGTTATTATGATAATAGCAAAGTGATTTAAATAACCTGTTTTATCAGCATATGTACAGAGTTCTTCCACACATTTTTCTACTTGCCTTCAATTCATCAGTGTTTGGATATTTTGCACTACTGCAGAATCATGATCAGCAGCAATATTTACGTTTATTTTCTTAACAATAGAAGGTGGTTCTGCTGTATTGGAAGGTACAACTGAGAATCAGGGGCCATAAATTCTAATGATAAAACATGGGAGTATTCATTCTTTTAGTCTATATACAGACACAAAAAAAAATGACAGTGGAGTTCAGATTAAATGGTGAGGCATGTTTTTGTGCTTGCTGTTTAGGCAACTTGAATTTAGAGCCTTTTTGTATCATATTTTCTTATCTCTGGCAAAGCACTGAAGGGTAGGTTTCCATTGCACATTACTGTGGAAGAGAACCAGGGTAGGGAGAATGAACTTATCAAATGCAGGCTTCCCAAAGCTAAGCAGCTTACTGTAGTTCAGTAGCGAAAGCATTTTGGAAACACCCTGCTAACTTGAATGTTAGATGCTAGTGTCAGTATCTTGAGCTAGTCATCACTAGTATGTAAAATCGTTAGATGTAAAACCAAAGATGAAGGTTTTGTTTTATTTATCCAGTTAATGGTAAATTTGCTAAAGCAGCGAAGCTAGTTAACTGAAAATAGCAATGCAGAAATGCTTAATTGAAAATGCAATTTAAAATAGTTTGATTATAACTGTTGCTACTAGGTAGAGGATGAAACTGTTTTACATAACATTCCATATATGGGGGATGAAGTGCTTGACCAGGATGGTACCTTTATTGAAGAACTGATCAAGAACTATGATGGGAAAGTGCATGGAGACAGAGGTGAGCCCAAACACTCAGGTATACTAATCACTTCTTCCTACATAAATTATTGTTGTTGGTGTTGCTTGTTAAGGCCTGATGCTTGATTATTACAGTAGTATCTCTAGAATCCCTGTGTTGTATAAACATTGGATATAAGATTTTCTTATTTAAATAAGTTGCTTTGCATTTCTATAAGGCTGTGAAGTGTTATAGTAGCAGTACAGAGAAATTAAACACTTCAACATTTTCCCTAAACCATACAGTGGTTCATCAGCCCTGGCAGTGTTCAAGGCCAGGTTGGACGGGGCTTGGAGCAACCTGGTCCAGTGGAAAATGTCCCTGCCCATGGCAGGGGGTTGGAACTAGATGAGCTTTAAGGTCCCTTCCAACCTAAACCATTTTGTGATCATAATGCCTAGGTGCAGCTTGGAGAAGTTCTTGGTTTTCAATTTTGTGCTCAGAGCTTTAGAATATAATAGTGTAATTTCTCTGCGTGTATCCTGCCTAGCAGAAAGTGGCAGGAGAAGTATGCAAAACTCTGATAGTGATATTTGCCAATGTGATTTGATAGAAAATCTCTTGTGGGTTTTTGTTTTTTTGGTTTTTTTCTCCTTTAGGAAAATTACCAGCTATTTAAAACCCTCTTTTCTATAAGTCAGTTTATAGAGCAAATTTGTATCCTTCTGTTGGTACACTAAATATATATATATATATA